AGGTCCCTCGTCTGAAGAGCCACCTGGCTCATTCCATACTCAAAGCCATGATGATAGCCTATATTAAAAGAGGATTAATGATCCAGGGTTTTTGGTTTTATTATAGCCCTGACTTAAGAGGAAAGTATAGTTGGATAGTCTTTTTTTTTTTTTTTTAATTGATTACCATGATCACCTGTATGTCTAAGATGCAGTTTTCTTTCTGATGTGTAACACTACACCAAATGCATAAGAACCACAGGATTGCCACTTCATCATTGTATTCTTTCGATTTTTTTGCATTCGCTAATGCAGAGAGGGGAGCCTTATTGTATTGTTTAAAAACTGGAAGAGTCTGGAGCAAACCTGTTGTTGTTGGGGCTTGTTTTCTTGCCAGCCTTGGTAGAATGAACTGCTACTAACTGCCCAGATAAGGAAAACCCATCAGTGCAAGATTGATGAATATGCTAATAAAGAAAAACAATGTACAAGAAGAGTATTTCCCATTCATGTGTTTTCCATTAACATGAGGCTATCAAGGTTGCAAAAGAGTTTTGGGTGGGAGCGGTTGTCAGGAGTATCGAGGTCTGTTACTGTCTTTTCTACTGATTCCTTGTGAGTTGATAAACTCTCTTGGGCTCAGCATTTTGCCCTGTGTATCCATGGTTAGTTTAGACTATGGACTAGTGACGTGAGTTTTAGAGCTGATGCACATCTGCTGTGTCCTGGTTTCGGCTGGGATAGAGTTAAATTTCTTCCTAGTGCTGTGTTTTGGATTTAGTATGAGAAGAATGTTGATAACACACTGATGTTTTCAGTTGTTGCGAAGTACCTTGTCAAGGACAACTACCCTCTGCTAGACTGGGAGGGAGCACAGCCAGGACAGCTAGCCCAGCTGGCCAACGGGGTATTCCATACCATGTGACGTCATGCTCAGTGTATGAATGGGAGGCGTGTTCCAGGAAGTAGCGGTTGTTACTTGGTTATCGGTCAGCGTGGGTGGTGAGCAATTGCATTGTGCATCACTCATTTTGTATATTCTATTATCATTATTATTATTATATTCTCTTTTCTGTTCTATTAAACTATCTTTATCTCAACCCACGAGTTTTTTCTCACTCTCACCCTTCCAATTCTCTCCCCACCCCATCTGGGGGGGGGCGGGGGGGGGAGTGAGCAAGTGGCTGTGTGGTATTTGGCTGCCTCCCAGGTTAAACCACAACATGCTGCTACCTTTGAAGTGAGTAGGATTTAGGTATGTTGATGGGTATTCAACATCTCAAAACGAAGCCACTTATATGAGTTCTCGAATTCCTGGGTTGGTGTGCCTGAAGGAAACGATACAAGTTCAGAAATGTTGACTTTAAAATATACTTTGGTTTCCAGTCTTGTAAGTAGACAAAATAAATTTCACACCACATGGGGTACCCAGGAACTTAAAATTAAGGTGAATTAAGTGTTTTAAAATCTTTGCAGAACAGACACTGCAACATGTATGTAGAATAAAAACAAAGTGTATGTTCATCAATGAGAACTAGAGTTTTGGATTCTAGGTATAAGAAATGCTTTCAGGGTAAGATATGGGTAAGTTTATCTCAGCTTTTTGCCATGACATCAGCCTGCCTGGTCACGGTTAACATTATTTTAGCCTTCCCTGACCAGGACCCACTACTATTAATTGAACACAAGATAATCATAATAGCCTTGCTAGGGACACTGTGAACCACAGTATGTAACTGGATAGTATATCACACTGTGAAATAAGGACTGAAAAGAGAGTGTTTCAGATATAATGCGGAGCGTTTCACATGGTAATCTTGAGTTATCCAAATAGCAAACATGTAATAATGCGAGAAAGGGAGAAACTTGATCTTGCTAAGGTATTGCACATATTTTTAAACCCTGCCTTCATCGTAGTGTTTCACTGAATTACATTTTTACTAATATTTGGAAAAGTCTTCTGCATATAAGCAGTGATCATCTCCATGTCTGTCATATTTTAGAATGTATTTTAAGATTTTAACAGTACTGCTTAGTGCAATATGAAACACAAATATAATGTAATAAAGAAAATTTTTTTTCAAAACCTAAAATGTAGCAATTCACACCAAAACTTAAAAAGCAGAACGAGCTCCAAGAAAACACATTGGTTTAAAACCTGCATATCTTTAGTCACTGTATTATCTTCACTTGATTCACTGGAAGAGCTCTCAGTATAGATGAATTAGATACTTTGAGTAGAAGAACCCGCCTCTTCTTTGCCATGTGGGAGTTCTCTGTGCTTTTGGTAGAGACTGTGCTGGCTGTTAAGTTCTTATTAAACTTTTATTAAGGGCTTCTATTCATGCTACTTCCCATTTTAAACATGTAAAAATACTAAATATTTTTTAAACATTCCCATATAGCCGTGCTGCTCCTTCTCAAGAAACAGTGGCTTCTCAGATTGTTTAGCTGAAAAAGTAATGTTAAGCATAGTTGCAGCTGCCAAAGTCTGGAAACTCAGAGTTACATCTGACATTTCATTCTTCACCTTAACTATTGAGCCTTGGCCATTCATTGGTTTTTCACAGTGCTTTGGAGTTAGAAGGGAGTTTTACAGATGAAAGATGAAAATCAAAATAAACTCCTTTATCAAGTAAACCTTGCAAGGGCATTCTGAATTTTACAATACACAGGGAGTTGATTGTGATATAACATACAACACAAGAGGGTTGGAATAAACAATTTATTCTCTATCGTTAGGGATGGCCATGCATAACTGACTTATGGCTCTGGTTTGCTCTGCCACTTGTTACGTGTGCAGTCATCCCTAACTCATACCAAAAGTAGTTTATCATACTCCTGTGTTGCATAGTTTTTATCAAAGGTTCTCTCATTAAAAACTTTACCGGGGACATTGAATGTTTCAAGATGCTGGCAGTGCTCATGAGAGCTTTCCCAGAGCTTGGTCTCACTGAGTGGAGTCGGTGCCGACAGTGATCATGAGACGGTTCCAGATACCCTACGCAGGTACAGGCTGGTGGGCAGGCAACAGTCATCACTGGACACTACGTAGCAGGTTCAGTGCAGAGGTCAAAGGCTGGCTTGTTAGAAAGCCTGAAGGACCGCAGGGGCTTCCCCCAAGTTGGGAACGAAGCAGGGGGGTCGGACAGCGTAGGAGAATATTGCAGCATCACTGCCCCCACGGTGTAGCTCCTGCCCCTGCAGTGAGGGTTTCATTTCCTCCGCTGTCAATTCAGAACCTTCCCCGAGCCCTAAATCCATTTAAAAACAAACAAGGCCATCTGCCAGATAATTCCCTGGCTATCCTAGTGATAGATGTATCTCAGTCTGTAGTTGTCTTTTGGATAGCCATTTGAAAGGTTTTATTCCTAAGCATTGTGTGGATCGAGCCTTCAGCTGCGTGCGCCCTTCCTGAAGGAGGTTCCTTTTGGGTAGTGCATGTCTACAGCACAACCTAGTTCACTTTGCCCAATCTTCTGAAGAGAGGATGCAATCCTGGTACAAATGTCAATTGGCGGGTCCCCAACACCGTCTAGGTAATAGTTGGAGCTAAGCCACCGGTGTGCCTCGGTGGTAAAGCACCTGCTGCCGGAGTGCACTGCTGAGATTGGAGCTCGGGGGTGGCGGTTTGACCCCGCGGTGTGCAGCTGTGGTGGTGGGCTTTGGTTTGTGGCATTCTGTACCTTTCTTGGCCAGGAGTGTTTGCTGCAGTCTGACACGCAGGTTGCTAGAGTGATGTTGTCGTGCTTGGAAAAATGTTGGTGTTTGGCAAGGGTGCTTTCCATCAAATGCATGGTCCCCCTGCACATTCGTTTGTATCGACGCATTTTTTCCAGGCTACGTCACCTTCCTACTTCACGGGAACATTTTGAGCGCAGACCTTTATTTCAGCGTTATCACACCCAAGTTTAGTATAACTGATGAAAGTTCAATTATATGCGAAGCGACTATTAAAGCATCAGGGCTCATCTGGGGGTCTGGGCCTCCCCTCCCCTTTTCACTTACAATTGTGCTAAATCCCTTAATGTTGCAAAGAAACCGTACATTCATCAGGTGGAGCGTCGGAGGCCAGGGTGCAGATAACCGCTTTTACTGCATATGAGACATTGCAGTCCTGTTCTTAAGAACTGCCAGGCAGATTGGGAATCACGGTCACGGTTAATAGCAGCGAATTGCCAGCTCTTGATGGGTGGGTAGTCACTCCTTTCAGTGGTTGCCCCCTGGGGGAGAAGGTAGAAAAACAGAGGGAGGGAATTAGAGTGACTTTGCACAGTTGAGCAGGTTCATGCCGCTGGATCAGTGGCAAGCATTGGCAGGGCTCCACTCTGGGGAGGCTCACAACAACATCACAGTCTCATTTTTACCAATTGGTGTTGCTATAGCCAGTGGTGCACAGGGGGAGAGCAAAGAGGAGGGGGGGAGCCGGAGGGGGAGAGTGAAAGCAAGAGTCTGGACTGAATTAAACAAACAAAAGTGCTTGTAAGTAGCATTTAACCCATAACCATTAGCCCAGTGCTGCTAATTGTACTAAACTATATATCTGAAGTTCAGTGTGTGATTAAAGAGTTGGCTCACAAACTCTCTGCATAACCTTAATTTTTTCAAGGTTCTTTGAGTGTAGAATGGCTTATAATAATGATTTTGACTAATACGATTTTTGACATGCAACTTTAATGCTTAACCTTAGTACAACTCCAGAGCATTTCATGTGTATTCAGCTGTAAAGAGTGATGATTTAAAGGGATAATATAAGAAAAAGGTCGTTCTAGAATGATCCTCTAACAAATTGCATAAAGGAAGCTTATTATTCCATGAGTAGAGAGATATGCAGCTTTTCTGATCATTTTTCTGCTTGGTTCAAAAAATTGTTGAGACATGATTGGGGAAAGAAACACAAAAAATGAAATAGAAAACTGCAAGCAGTGAACATTCTTTTGATGGTTATGATTTTGTTGCCACTAAAAATACTCCTCAGTAATGTGGTTGTTCATCTTTCCTCTTGTTTTGGGTGAAGAATTCGTTCCAATAAGAAAATGCTGTTATTGGTTGGAGGATTGCCTCCCGGACCTGACCGGCTTCCCAGCAATTTGGTTCAGTATTATGATGATGAAAAGAAGACGTGGAAAATACTGACAAGTAAGTGGTTTATTTTTGTACAGTTGTCTTGACGAATTTAAAAACATGGTTAATCAAATTAGACACTTTATTGATTTGTTTCTCTTCAGAGATTTGTTTATGTATCACAAGGGGCTTCACAATGGAGCAATAAATTGAGATTGCAGAACATGCTAATTTTATAATAGGATAGGCCTAAATTAACATTGGCTTAAAATCATTCCAGTAAGTTTTTTAAGTAAACTTGTAAGTCTTTCATACTGCAACATGAATACATGCATATTTATGTACATATGAATAAAATCTGGTTTAGGAAAAAAAAAAGGCAATGTTCGAGACAGTTTTCTCAGAGCCAGATCCCTGGTAAGCCAGAGTATTAGAGCACACCTTTGATTCTCTTTTGCATTTTCATTTCCTTTTTCCAGCTTTATCTGTTGTCCACAATCATTAAAGAAAGATTTCCTCTGTACTGCTCTGCGTCCATTGCTGACAGAAGCATTGGTGGAATATAGCAGCTACAATAAACAGTGCATGGAGGCTCCTATCACAAAATTCTTTCCCACCTTCTTTTAAAGGTTGATTGTGTTTTAGAGTAAGTATTTTGCCTCGAGCATCGAGATTTGGAACTTACTGTTATGTTGGTTGCGATTCCCAGTCTGACTTGGTCATGGAATCAAATCATAGCTTCTTGAGTGCAGCAGGCTGTGTGTGCATTAGTCCCCTTGTGGCTAAACTGGCTGCATTGGTCAATAAAACTAAATTTTAACTGTCAAAATTGCCCAAAGCAGTATGGATAAAATAATAAATGAGCAATTTTGATCCATAAATCAAAGCCATACTTCTAAAACTGGACAACTGGTAAAACCTGGATTTCCTAATAGACCTGCTTTTTTTGCCCAGTAAAATACATTTTACAGAATTCTGTTCTTCATCCCTTTAATGGGATATATCCACATTAATATTATATGCACAGGTTAGGATGAAAAAGAATTAAAAAGACTGCTATGATGCAGGACTTGAAATGATGCCTTTGCAAATTGCTTTCTCTGTTGGAAAATTTAGGAACCTTTCTCAAAGTGCTGCAGCATAAAGACTGCTTAGGTATAGATGCCCTGGACTAATAGTTGGGGGTATTGTGTAAGAATGACAATTACAAAAGGTTGTATGAACTGTACATTACAAAAGTCTACAGCATCTGTACTAGGGAACATACTATGCTTCACATTTTTCAGAATAATGAGGTATGATACTCACCTCTGTAGGCTACTTCTAAGAAAATTCTGAAGATGGTAAGTCAGTGAAAAATCAGTGATACTATGTGAGGCAGAAGTGTTCAGGTTTTTTGACTTTGTTGTGTCTAATCCAGTGGCTCACCAGGATGGCAGGAGAAATGGATCTCTTGCTTCAAGATCTGAACTCTCGACTGAATTAAAGTGAAAAGCTTTATTCCGAATCTTACCTATATGTAGATGTGTCAGATTATGTAAGAATGAAATTTAGCCAGTTCTTGGTTACTTACATTGTGATGCTGTCTCCAAGAGTGTGGGAGACTGGACCCAGAGGCTTGATACCTAAATGCTCTGGTTAAAACTCCATTGCTAGTATTTTAATAACACCACCATCTATGGTGGTGTTGAGAGGTGTTCCTGAAGAATTTTATGTAATTTTATCAAAAGAATGTAGTCTTCTCTGCATTACCTCTAACAAATATTAACAAATAGTAAACAAAAAAATCTCTTTCCATTGTGGTTAATGCACATAACCTTCTGTGCTGTGATTAAAAGATAAAGCATCTGCTACAGTCCTAACTAGCTCATGTTCACTTGGTGCTCAGCACTGGTAGTCCTGAAGGTCCCAGGATCTGTCTCACTATCGGCTGAGACAGCGGCTGTCAAATACACAGCCCTCTCGTGACATGAGGAATCCTGTTCTTATAAAAACTGCTAGAAAAGCATGCCTTCTTGGCCTGGACTACTGTTTGAGGATGTCTTTTCACACTGAAAAAGACTAAATGTTAACAAGCGTGATTTCTTAGAAAATGTTACTACTACTCACCAAATGGTAGCAATAATTATTTTTTTAAAAAAATTGAAATAAGAGTTTCAAGTATCCCCTGCTTTATTTTCTAACTTAATATAAGAGAGGATGGGAAGTGGAAGTTGGAGTAGAACTTTTGTCCTGTCCTTTCCATAAAACATTGAAGGACTATACAGCATGGGAGTGCAGGGACTTGAAGAACTGTGACTGAGCAGTTTTAGGGAAGACCACAAACTAATCACATTATAACATGGTGATAGGTCAGTGCAGTCATGGTGTTGTATCGACATAATATGACATTTACGGTGTGTGGGAATTTAAGGACATTGTTCTATTTTTCATGTACTTTTTGCAATTTAGGAAGAAGTACATTTACTTCCTTACTTTACCCTTTCACCTCTCTCCCAGTCGACAGTTTTGGAAAATAATTGGTCTGTTTATTCTTATCAGAAATGTACAATCAGCAGCAAAGGAGGAAGATTTTTTTTCTGTTTCTTTTTTTACTTGTTTAGACAGTGCTGTCAGTTCTGTGGTTGCAGTTCACCCCCAACTCATCAGTGCAAATGAGGAGTTTGCTCCCTAGTGAACAGGGGTAGAGCAAAAGCCGTGTCCTGCTCATAAGGTTCTGTGATGGGAAGAATCTCAGTCCTTGTAGTCTGGTATTTTACGATGTTCTATCTTATTATCGCCTTAGGTGTACTTGATTTCTTCCTGTACTAGCAAACGTTTACAAAGTCTTTTCTTTAACCTTCTGCCCTCCAGTAGACTCCCCCACGCACTAACAAAAAGCCAGGCTTTGCACTGAAGAGGCTTACTGATCCAATGTAAATGTGCACAGAAGTTCCCCTTTCCCTCCTCCAGACCCATCTACATTACTCATTTTCTGCTGTCTGTGCCAGTGGCATTTGGGGGTAGGGAAGGTGGGGAAAAAAGCTTGCAAACACTTTGTCCTGGGTGCAGTGGCAGGGTCATTGAGGAGGAGACGGATGAGAGGAGACCGAATCTCCTCTTGTCACCCTCCGTTGAGAGGAGCCCCAGAAGTTACTCAGCAGGGCCTGCAAACCCGTTTGAGAGGGAGCTGTTTGCCTGTTGCCTTTTTCCTTCTCAGCGTGGAGAGTGGCTGTTGCAACCACTCAGTTGCTTAGGGCTTTGTGTCCTGCCTTGTGTGATGCATAAGGAACAGGAGATCAACCATCAGAAACTACTGACTCCATGTAAGCCGTGGCACTGCAGTTGGAGCTATGAAGACAGTTGCAGGTGGAGCAGCACAAGCTATTGAGTATGACAGCTCAGCAGAGTAGCAATCTCATTTTGTTTCCGCGACAAGACTAGATCTGTTGGCAGGGGATACTGCCCACCTCTCTCTGCCTGGCTAGCCAAAGCACCAAATGCATCAGTACTAATGGGAGTAATTCTAAAGGTATCAGGAAAACAACTTGCCTTGTTCATAGATCCAGAAGAGGAGGGGAAGCATGCACCCATTTCCAATTTTTTAATGTCATCATCTATAGGCAAGAATGCTATGGCTCGAGGGATCGGTAGATTTTTCACAGTCTAGTATTACTGTGTATTTTTCCTGTCTGGTATTTCTCAGAAAGTTTTTTTTTCTATGTTGGCAACAAAGAATAGAAAAAGAAAAAAAAAGGAGAAAGTAAGTGCATTTTACAAACAATTTCTGCCACCTAATTTTACTTGATGTGGGCACAGCCCTAATCTGAGATTCATAATGTGCATGTTGCTGTTTAATTTGAAACACTACTTACTGCACAGTCGTGCCTGAGCAAAGTAGGGGCGTTTACAGACTGTATGGCAAAGTACAGTGAACAGATCTTCACTGTGGGGTTTCTTTTCAGGCTTGCCTACACGTGCACAAACGCCAGTTCATTTTTTAACTGGGTGCTACCTATGTCACGTGGCAGCAACAGGCTACCACTGCCAGCGACACAAACTGAACGGCTGATGGGTGCTTGACAGTCCTTAGTAACAGCAAAAGTTCTGCTCTATTAATGGGGTTTCATTGTGCCATGATATTTCTCAGTCCTCATAACTACTTACTGGATGTGGGGCAGTGGGGGGTCTCTGGGTCACCGCCTCGTGCCTCTCTGCTCAGAACCAGCCACTGCTGCTTCGGTTTTAATTACCAGCTACGGTCCTGCAAGGAGTCCTTGTTTAATCCTAGAACTCCTTTGGTTGTTTGTTTTAACTAACTGCAACGTTTAAGATTAATTAAACTTTAAGGAAGTGAAACAATGTTTTGTTAGAATTAATTCTATAATTATTGCAAATTTCAAAATCCAGAGCCTATAAAGATTTTTTGTGTTCAGAATTGCATAGCTCTCCCAAAAACCCTACTGCTAAGGCAATGATGTATTACTTTCACTTTCATTATATGTTTTTAATCAGAGCGTGACTTCATAGTAGACAAAGTGATGCTTTATGCATGGTCTCCCTTGTTTTTTGCTAAAATCTTTTGACATGATTAATTTTACTTTAATGCTTTTGTCTTGTTGTAATGGTAAGGATGATGGGTATAAACCAGGGCAAAAAAATACATGCTTTTCTGTCATAATGCCTCTAAGCATTTAAAAAATATATTAAATGAAAGAAAAAAATATCACAAGAGACTGATCCAACTGGAATTAAATTTCTTGCTACGTGAACAGAGAATGCAGGAAATAAGTAAAAATGATGCAGTCATTGTTTTAGGGGTTTTTTTTTTTGTATTTTTTCCATAGCAATGTATCCATCTGTCTGATTAGAAGTGGTGAGTAGGAGAGAAATTGTCTTACAGATTTCGAGGTATACAGTGAATCCTCCTTTCAGTGCAAAATTTCTTTTTCTGTAAAGCACAAAAGGGTAAAATATTGGAAATGTTACTGAACTCTTACATGGCACGTTCCATCCATGTGAAGCTGTAGCTGCAGTAGATCTTTCTTTCCTATTGGTACTTTGTTTTTCAGTAAGATGCTAATTGTAACATTCCT